CTTTGCTGATGCGCAGCCCTTGCTTAAGAATCTTTTTTTACTGCATCTCCCAGGCATCAGTTGACAAAGGAACAGTGTTGAAAGTACTGTAATGTATTTACTCATCTCTAGAAATAGATTCCTGCATATGTGAACGTTGAATCTATAGGCACGTGACGAGTTCTTGGTAGGAAGCGTTCTGGTTTCTGGTTGTAGTCTGAGTAGTATTGACTGATCACATTAGAGTGAAAGGTAAACTATCCATGTGGAAAAGTGGATTGCTTCTGCCAAAATGTAATCTTGGACCCATCAGCTATCGTCTGATGACAATTTCTGTTTATAGAGATTAGCTGAAATGAGCAACACATGGAAAACGAAGTCTATTTGCTTTTTTGTTAAAAGAAAAGATTGTTAGCACTCTCACGTCTGACAATAGTTTCGATCCTCTCATCTAACTCTTGGCATAGTCCTCAAATTGTCAAACTATTATTTTAAGTGTATCCTACTATATTCCTATACTATTCTTTTTGGTCTGCCGTGGTAGCTGCTTATGCTTACTACCCTGTCACTGAATTTGTGAAACGAGTTGCTGTTGGTGTATTTTTTAAGTGAAATGCATCACTGATGTGCACAAGAGGACTCTGACATGTGTTGTATTTTTGTGCAAAGTAAATTTTAATGCACCAAACACAGACATACAGTTTTTACAATAGTTGAAATCTCCCCCCTCAGTAACAATTTAGAATCATAACACAAACATAATATATACAGATTTTACTGTCTAGAAATGGCAGGTAAAAATTTCATATTCGTTTTTGTACCTGCTTTTTTCTTGCAGTGTATCACGCCATTTACCTGGAGGAGCTCACAGCCACTGAGCTGACAGAGAAGATCGCTCAGCTCTTCAACATCTCACCCAGACAGATAAATCAGATCTTCAAACAGGGTCCCACAGGCATCCACGTGCTGGTCAGCGATGAGGTAAGTTATCCCTGGGCTGTCTGCTTTTAGCAAGGCTGCACAAATTAGAAAAGGCACTACTGATAGAGATGAGTTGTCCGCATGAATGCTGGTGAACAGATTTCCCTCCTACATTTAACATTTACTCTCTTTTTAACAGATGATTCAGAACTTTCAGGATGAAGTATGTTTCGTTTTGGACACAATGAAAGGTATGAGCGTGCCGTTGATTTATCTGTGTCTATATTTAATGTAGAGCCTTGATGAACTTTATTATTGCAAGTTTATTTATAACACCGTCCCCCCTGCTATGTTTCCTTTTCCCTTTTTCTCCAGATGACACGAATGACGGCTACCACATCATCTTGAAGTGAATAACTGGGCAGGAGAAAAGCGTTGCTCTCTTCTTTAGACCCGATCCAGTGAGCCCCTCTAGAGCTTCATGTTCCTCGCTGTTCCTGGAAAATGTGGGGATGCCCCAGAGAAATGTCTCGAGGCCGCTAGGAGGAACATGCGACTCCTCTCCTCACTATACCTTATTGTCTTACTTTTGAGGTAGTGACTGTAACCACAGTGAAGTGAACAAACTCCTTCTGCCCCCGCCATTGTCCCCCCAACCGTAAATGGTTGCATCTTTCTCTGTCGCTTATGTCTCATGAAAGAGGTTAGTGGCACCGCAGCTGCTATCACTGTTTATTTGTTAGCTGAGCATCTGGTGTGCCAAAGCTCTGTGCTTCAGAAACAGTTTGTCGTCTCTTTGAAAACCAACAACCAAAAGGAAAAATCAAAGCGACAAAAAAAAACGAAAGATAGTGACTATGTCAGGACTTGACTCTCCACCTGCAGTGCAGCATGATTTCTTCTTCTCATGCTAGATTGCCTTACCAGGATCCACTTAAGCCAGTCTGCAAAAAACACGGTATAGCAAACACAATCACAGAGTCGCATCAAAGAATCACAGGTGGCATCAAATCAGCAATCATGACTTCAAGGGAAACCAGCTGTCCTCAATAATGACTACCTAACAATGTCAGTCTTTTACCGGTTTGAACTGTTAATTTTGAGAAAACAAATAATCATTTTCAGACTCCCAAACACTGTTAGATCCCCGTAGTTAGTGTAGAGCTCATACTGACACTTGTGGTTGTTACTTATGAACCTTGAAAGATGACGAAACACTGTCTGTGTTAGTGATCACAGTGGCAACACCAGCAAACTGTCTCTAGTCCCTGTGCTTCCTCTCCCTCTCTGCTTATTTAGGTCGTCACTTCTTCATTTTTGGCCGTTCTCCAGCATCATTTGTAAATAGATCATTATTTTAAAAATGTTTTCATAAAGAATCATGCGATTATTTGGCAGTTTTAAAAGAAAATTGTCTTTGTTTTTTAAAAACAAGCTTACATCTCTTCATTGTTTTTTGGATGTTACCACTTCCAGATACTAATACATATAATGGAACTGTTGGCATGCGAAAAGATATGGTTAGTTTATGTTCTGTCCATTGTGCTGCTTACACGAAATTGATAGCTTGACATTTTAGATATTCAATTTTACCCCCCCCCATCTCATCAGCATTATTAAAGTGCTTACCCGTGTACTGCGCACCATCTGTTGTCTGTCTCCTTACAGTGTTTGCAAAAATAAAAAAATGTGATTTTTAACAGTATCTTAAATGTTCTTGAGCTCTTTAGTGAAAAGTAATAATTCATATTAAAGATTCAGTGTGTGAGAGGTTAGGGTGATTTAGTGGCACCTAGTGGTGAGGATTGCAGATTTCAACCAGCTGAAATGTCTCGGTTAGAATTCCTTCAGTGTTCATTGTTTAAGAGGTTTTTACCAGGAGCAAAATTATTGGCAAAGGTCTCCTCTACAAAAACAAAGTGACCAGGTGATTAAAGCTGGTAAAAAAAAAAAAAAAAAAACTGAATAAAGCAGTTTCACATTAAAAATCAGTGGTTTGGCCTGTCGCAGACAAGCCACTACCCCAGCACCTCCTAATGTGTGCTCATCTTTTTTTCTCTGATAAGCTAAGATCCAGACTTTGCAGTGTTTTTTACCAGAAGCAGAGGAATTCGCAGAGGTCTCCTCTCCAAAACAAACAGATCTTGGGTCTCATTAGTAAAACAATGCGTTAGATCCATACTAAAAATGTATGTACCAACAAAAGCCAAAAATGGCATTCTTCCATCTCACCGTCTGCGTCACCAATTTCCTGTCTCCAAAATGTTTGTAAGCATGGGTCAAAGTTTCTCCCACCAAATCTGTTTTCATAGATCACAACTTTTTCGTGGGAGGTGGAGTACGCCTCTTTTAAGCCTTGTTTTGTGTGCATGCAGTGTTTATAAATGAGACTTCAGGTGGACTGCTAGCCCAATGTGCACACACCTTTTTGATGATCCAGATGTTCATAGGGATTTTACCTATAGCTGAATTATCTGCAGAGGTCTTTTCAAACACACAGACCCGGTGATTTAAACAGGTAAAGACACTAAATAAAGCAGTATTACATTAAAAAATAAGTGTTTTTCTGATGCTGGTCATCGTAAAGGGGCTTGCGAAAAACGCAAATTTGCCCTATCTAGAGCCAGTGTTTGTTTTGTCTGTTCTAGGCTACTGTAGAAACATGGCAGTGCAACATGGTGATCTCTGATAACTAGGACCCGCTTGCAAATTTATGTTTCCCTGGATAGCGAAGGCATGACCCAACTTACTCTCGCTCTGACTGTCTGGTACTGTTTGCCTTCATTGGTTGTGCAGCAGCTGTTTCAACATACCACAATCCTTTGGCAACTAAGTTTGTGAGATGTCTGGTTGTGATTCGCGTTTGTGTTCCTTTTTTGGAGACCCACAGTACTGGCATGAGGCAGGGAAAAAACTGAACGGGATTTATTGAGAATCCAAAAAAAACAAAATGGCAGGCCAAGTCCTTCCAATATTACATCTTGTACGGTCCTCTGTCATATTTATATGTATTCTCATGTATCACCTGTTATTATACTTCAACACTGCATAACACGGTCAAAAACTTACTACGATCCAAATCAACACAAACTTCACGTCATCTTTTATGTACGACACTTGACATGAATAACTTGTGCCTGCATTCAGACATAAAGTAGATATAATCATAACCTCAGTGTAGTCCACTACCATACACTATTCAAAATATACAGAAACTGTTGTGTAAATTTAAATATCGTCAGAACCTATATGTTATGTCATATCGACACAGAAACAGCTCTTACAGGTGGGATTGGTTCAGTTTAGGCAAAAAGAGTGAAACTGAAGAATAGACTTAATTGTCATTGTACAAGAAGTTCAACAAAATTAGCTGTGCCATGCCTGAATGTAAAAAAAATTGAAAAATAGTCAGCAATAAATACACTACACATATGCGTACACAATCATCCCAAATCAATAATTATATATAAATATTTAAAAATAACATTAAAAGCAGTATTGCACAAGTTGACCCATTATTGCATGTTTGAGTTAAGCAGGTTAGTGTTATGGTTAGTGTATTAGAATAATATAGTTTCCTTGCAATATCCTAGGAAGTGCAAATTAGTGACCCGCTCCCTCTGTAGATATAAAGGCCTCATTCTAAGGTAACAAAAACACAGCAGTTCTTGTTTTCAGGTGATTATACACTAAAACCCCACAGTTAGTATACCATATTCAATTCCTGCTAATATACCCCATTAAACCCTTCACACTGGGCCTTTAAATACAAAGCTTCCCCTTTGCTGGACAGATGTTGAGGCCTACTACAGACATGCACAGTCATTTTGTTGCCATGGAAACTGTACCTTTAACAAGCCACAGCAATGATCATTTTATATGCTGTGAATCAGACTGAGTCAAATTTATGTTAAACACCATTTGTGTCAAAATACTGTCACATTTTGCATCTCCATTTCTGCTCAACATGAACAAAGAAGCCCTAAGAAACCAGCTCACTTCATTTCCCAGCATGCCCCGGCGCAGGGCATGCCTGTGATGTCACAATAAGTATATATACGGCTACAGGGAAGAATTTCTTCCTCCATTGTTACATTGTAACAAACGGGGCCGGGGCGAAACGGGCAGAAAGGCGTCTTCTTCTCGCTACAACATTCGCACCGCTTTGACACCAAGCGTTTTAAGGAAAGGGCCAAAAATCCGCGTCAAAGCGAGAAGACAGCGAAGTTAGCACCGCCGACTGAACCCGCCCCGGTGAGAGAAAAAAAAGGATAAACGAACACAGATGTCAGCGGATTTCTCCATCGCGAGCCTCACACCAAGAAGATAAGACGTTTCGGCTCATTTACATGACTCCCGGTGCAAAATGTTGGGGAATAAATCGCAGCTAATCATATGACGTCCCCTGTTTCTGCCGTCTGTCTGCCCTTTAAATAGATAGGCATGCAACATTTAAATAAAACCCGCAGGTCTAACAGGCAGCTCCTGCTTTCTTTCTGATCCTCCAGTGTGCAGAACAATGAACATGGAGCCTAAGTAGCCTCATATAGGCAGATTTAAGTGTTGCAAATTGACAGTGAGGCGAGGATTACTCCAGGTTACATTGGCTCGTAGGGTCGCAGTGTGGATACTCGGTTCAGGGATATCGGTTTGGCACAAAAAGGCAGCTCATAGGGCGTTGAGAGATTGATGTGCAGCTCACATTGGGAAGAGAAGCGACCTACGAGCTGGTTGGAATAAGGGTCCCTGTTTCTGCCCCAGGTAAGAGGGTTTAGTATTTCATTATCCGGGCGGGTTGCCATTGTGTGTGTGTGTGTGTGTGTGTGTGTGTGTGTGTGTGTGTGTGAAAAATGGGTAGAGCTGGTGTACTAGAGGGAGAGAGATAGACGGAGCCTTTGCCTGTCAGACTGATAATATCCAACCTCCCCCAACAGTCAGTTGCTGCATGTCCACAGTTTAACAAATGCCTCCCCACCGCAGCTGCATCTCCCTGAAGGTAAATACACCATGATTGTGTGTAAGCATACTGCCCAACTAAGTCCTTTAAAGGAACAGGAGCTGTGATGCTCACAAGGGAAATGAGCCGACTATCAAAATCCAGCCTGTGCTCTATTTGCCCTATTTATATTGGAGTCCCCAGGTGGTTAATGGCTCACATTGATGCTGTAACCACACTGAACATGTACAGCCTCTTCAGGTGTGTTAAATCAGGTTAAACCTAATTTCAAATCTACATTAAAGCATAAATTGTGTGCTGTGTCAATGATTCTGCACAGCAATGACACTGTTTTCTTCTTTGAGACGTTACATCTAATTTTACTACTCTTTATTTCTGATGCAAAGTGTCCTCACATCCCAGTAAAACCACCCTGGCTGCAGCAGTTGTTACATTATTCACTGTCCTCAGAGCAGCTCCAGGATTTGTCTCAACATGACATCATCTCTTTATTTAGCATAAGGACAAACTACACTCCACAATATTACTCCAATGTTACATATCACTCCTGTTTGAAGGAGCAGTGTGTAAGATTTAGGGGGATTTAATGGCATCTAGCAGTGAGATTGCAGATTGCAACCAGCCGAAACTTCTCCCTATTTGAATTTCTGCAGTGTTCATGGTTCAGGAGGTTTTTACCAGGAGCTGAATTATCCGCAGAGGTCTCTTCCTCTCCAAACAAATGAACACCGTGACTGAAAATGAAAACACAAAATAAAGCAGTTTTATGTTAAATAAATCAGTATTTTTTCAACGCTCTTGTCATGGGTAAGCAGCAGCCTCCAGGGCTGATAAATGAAGCCAGTGCAGAAGTGCCAAAAACTGCAGTTCCTTGAACGGTCACTTGAGGCTGGCTCCAGAAGCGAGTCAGTCCCCATATACCCCCATGTTAAAATGCCCAACTTTACAACACAAATAAACATGCCAACAGCCTGGCACAAAAATGGTTTTGGTCTCTGTCGTTAATTTCCCCGTTCATGACAACTGCACAGGGGTTGATTTTAATATAACTCACCTGTTTACTTTTTATTAAGGCTTACAGTTACGCATAATCAAGAGCCGGCTGCTTTGAGTGACAGGCTGTCTGCCGATAATGTCTTCTGCTGATCAGTGAGATCCACACCTTTGCTCCCTGGTGCATATTTGCATTTCCTGAGATGGTGAAGGCAAGACATGCCCAACTCTGTCTTACTCTGCCTCTGATTGGCTTACCCTGACATTCTTACCCTAACTAACCAAACTCACTCATCTTGCCTAACCCTAACCAATCCAAGCAACGACAGCAACGGTTACTAGCCAATCAAAGGTAAAGTAAAGGGGCAAGTCATGCTTTTGCTGTCCTAGGAAACACAAACTTGCCTCCCCCACAGCGCCAGCCTCTTGCCCCAATATGGTCACTTTTGGCTTCAAGAAATCAAGATGGCGACAGCTGATGTGCCAAACTCAAGGCTTTCAGAAAGGGAGTCAGAAAACCAATGGGAGACATCACAATAGCTACGTCCATTATTTTTTACAGTCTACGATCTGAAAACGCGAATGGCTCTATCAACAACCAGTGTTAAGTTTGTCCATTCTGGGCTACTGTAGACACATGGTAGTGCAACATGGCAGTCTCTGTAGGGAAGGACCCGCTCCCTATGTAGATATAACAGCTCATTTTAAGGCTACACAAACACAGCAATTCGTATTTTCTGGTGGTTATACACTAAATAGAACATACTTACTATATGATAATCAATTTCTGCCAATATATGCCCTTAAATCCTACACACTGGACCTTTAAGGCTGGATTTCTCCTTTGTAAACCAGAATGCACAATGGCTCATTTGGAGCAGTCCCATATAGGAATGAAGATACAGTATGTAACTGTCAGTAGCATGTGACGTGTTAACACAGTCCCAGTTAAAACGTGCTTCATAAAGATGTAGAGTTGCATAGTAACCTGTTAATAACCCCTGAAAGTTAATTCACAGGGAATAATAACAGGATGGACACAGTGTTTTTATGTTTTATCACCATGAAAATCTATTTTTTAGGATTGAAAACACAGAACTTTGTGAGCTGCAGTTTGAGCACAGACCCACTGGGCCCGACACAATATAACACGCTGCGCTCACTCACCTTGTTTGACCTTAACCTGCTGCTGTGATTGATCAGCTTTAGCTTTCAGATTCAGTCATATCGATCCCCTCTGCGCTGTTTTATAGCAGAACTAACAGGAAAAAAAAAACAGTGAGTGAGAAGCCATAGAGATGATTTGCTTCAAGGCTGTTCGTTTTAAACCGTGCTTGCCTAGTTGCCATGGTGACGTTTCTAGACTTGATGATTTCAAAGTAGGATTTCATGTGAGATGGGGGGGGGGGGGGTGGGGGCGGGGGCGCGGGCAGAGAGAGGAAATGATGGAGCTGGAATACAGATGAAAGGAAACCAAACAGCTGATGTCACCTTTTGTTTCCTTGTTGAGAACCAACCGGACACAGGAACAGTTTGATATATGAAGAGCTGGCTTTAAAGGGACAGTTCACCCCAAAATCAAAAACACGGCTTTTCCTCTGCCTTCTCTCAAGTGTAATGGAAATAGATGGCACTCAGCTTGTGGTGCTCAGAGCTCCAAAAAAAGCCAAAATTCAACAGCAATGTCTCTTTCCAGAAATCATGACCTGGTTACTCAAGATAATCCACAGACCTTGTTGTGAGCAGTTTCATGTAGGGACTATTTTCTTAATACCGAACTACACCCACCAACCATAGGTGCAATGCTGTTGCCCCCTAAATTCAGAAGCCCCACTAGTCTGAAAAGTCTCCCACTGGACCAGAAGCCTATTTCTCCAACATCCCGTTATCCTAAAAGCGAACAGCCATTGCTCTGAAGTCCTGTCTCTCCGAAAATACAAACTCCCTGCAGTTAGTTTTAGTTTACCCAGCTCCTTTTGAGCCAGTGAGGCGGGTTGTTTTTTACCGACCTCTCAGAAAAGATTGCGGTTTCACAGGATCACGATCTTACATAATTACTATTATCAGTCAGAATGACCCTTAAAGAAATGAAAACCAAAGGGTTATTCTTTATTGAACAATTGTTTTATTACTATAATTGAAACTTGACACAATTTTATTTAATGAAATTATGTGTAAAGGATCTCCCTTCTGAAAATAAGTAAAATAAAGGTGAGATTTTCCGCCTAGTTGCATTGATTTATCTAGCATCGTAGATAAGCAAACGTACATGGTAGGATAACTGTCAATTTTATATCACAGTATACTTTCAAACTAGTACACGGCTGTAATTCTACTTGGGAGCATTGTGTTTTTGTTTTTTTACTAACTTTCTTACTACCTTTTTGACTAACGGGCTTCAGAATTTGAGCTGTTGGAACAATTTGCAGTCCCTCCAACCGTATCAGTGTGCAGAAGGAAGCGTGCATCTACTCATGGACGAGGGACTCGTGCTTGTGACAGCATGACATGTAAACATAGTGTCCTCCTCGGCTGTGCTGTAACATTAGCTAGCTCAGTGGTGCTAGGTGAGCTAGCAGTAGATGCATGCTTCCTTCTGCACAGTGATACAGTTGGCAGGTGTAGTTTGGCAGAAAAAAAATAGTTCCTACATGAAACTGCTCACAACAAGGTCTGTGGATTATCTCGAGTAACCATCTAGTTCCATTATAAAGGAGAGAATGTAGGCATCTCTATGGCAACCTGCTCGGCAACTCACATCAAAACAGTCTAGACTGATAAAAAACACTACAGGTTAAGAGGAAAAATATGTATTTTTGATTTTGTGGTGAACTCCACATTTCCTGGTGTCTGAGTGTGTTGTCTGTGCTTGCTCCTCTTTGCCCTCAGACACAGAGTTTCCATGGAGGCAGGCTCGTCCCTCAGCCTCAAACGACGATATGAAGAGGTGGACAACGGCTCTCCATTCTCTACACCTAAGGACTCCGACGATGACATCTCCAGCAGTGACAGCGCTGACAGCTGCGACAGCCTCAACCCTCCTTCCAGCACTACATTTACCCGTAAGGAACAACAGGAGACACACGTTAAAGGCAATACACTCTAAAACACACTCAAACAGTTCATTAGTAGTATTTAACTCCTCATGTATGACATTGCATCCAAAATGTCTCCCTCTTTCTTCCCACACTTCAGCCACCTCCATCCTCAGGCAGCACAAGCCGTCACCGGGGGGGAAGCGAGTACGTTTCGATGTGGTGACGGTGTATTACTTCCCCCGGCGGCAGGGATTCACCAGCGTGCCCAGCCAAGGGGGCAGCTCCCTGGGTATGGCCCGTCACCACTCCTCCATCAGACACTACACGCTGGGCGAGTTTGCCCGAGAACAGGAAACGAGCCACCGGCACACTTTGCGCCAGCACCTGCGCCAAGAGAAGCTCAACGCCCGCAAGATGAAGGTAGGCTTCACATTTTATCTGAGTGTGTGAGAGTGATCGGGTGGTTAAAGGGATGAGTTGAAGTAAATCACGCTGTGTTCCAAGGTGCCTTGTTTTACATCAGACATACAGTTTTTATAAATTATACAAAATATTGTGCACCCTTGATTGATTAGGAGAAGAGCCCTGTATCCTGTTTCCCTCAACGTGCAGAAACTCTTAAAAAATTGGGGTACATTAAATATTTTCCTCTCAAAAGCAGATATTTCCTCTATCTGTGGTCATTAAAATTAACATTTACATTTACATACAGTTACATTTACTTAACGATTTATATTTTATTCCTACTATCTTAAGTACTAGTTTTAACACTGTAGCATAATGCACATTTATATCTCTATTTAATTGAATTTATCATGTCATATTTACATACTTCTATTGCATACTCTTATTCTTACCTCTTATTATTCTCTGTTCTTCATATCGGAGCAATTGCAACAAATCACAATTTCTCCCCGGGGATCAATTAAGTATTTCTGATTTCTAAAATACTGTGCTTGAAGATATACTATGCAGGATTTTCCTAAATAGCAATGTATAGACTCATACAGAAGGAATCCCTCTCAGTCGTCACTTATGACCCACTAGAAGTGTGTGGCAGTTTCACTTCCTGCAGAGACTCTGCCCTCTGCCTGTATTTTCATATTTTATTATTTTTTTCCATGCTCGGGACGTTCATTAGCGTGTACCCCCACAGCAGGTCAGGTGAGGTCGGGGCTTTATAAAAAGGTAGCGACCAGACTGTAACAGACTGTAAGCAGCAGGCATCCAAGTAAATGGTAAATGGACCTGCAATTGTATAGCGCCTTTCTAATCATCTGACCACTCAAAGCGCCTTTACACTATGAGTCACATTCATCCATTCACACACTGGTGACTGAGGCTATTGTACATGGTGCCACCTGCTACTCAGTTTTTAACACACCGATGGAACAGCCATCGGGAGCAAAGTGGGGTTGGTCTGGAGAAGCTGGGGATCGAGTCGCTGATCATCCAATTAGTGGACGTCCTGCTCTACCTCTGAGCCACAGCAGCTCCAAGACACACAGCACAGAAAAAATGCAACTATAGTGAGGTGGAACGCCAAACGACAGTTAATCAGGGGTTGGTTTTTACTTTCACTTTAGCTGGAGAGCCTGTTGAAAAACAGTAACTGACAATGCTGCGTAGTGTATCTTGAATTACAACTTTGATGTACTTGAGTATTTTCATTTTATGCTATTTTATATTTTCGCTCCACCATATTCTAAAGGGGAAAACTGTATGTTTTTCTTAACTACATTCTTACTACATACAACTGTAGTTACTGGTTCCTTTCAGATTGAGATTTTAGGGGTCGTACACATGCAGCATTTTTAACGGCCTGGTTAACGCCAGGTTGGGTGCTGGGTGCTACTCTTGTCTTGTGTCTTCTTTCAGGCGCTGTTTGCGTGTAGGCCTATCATCCGTGGATCAGATGTTAAGCTCTGACAGCCCTGCACAAAAATGATTTACTTTTCCTCCATATTTATCACACACTGATATTTAAAGAAGAAGGGAAAGATATCTGCCAGCTGTGATTGGTTGTTCTTCATCATATAACATGCGATGTGCGCTGCTGCGTTCTAAAAGTTGAACTCAGTTTATCCCTTTAACATCTCATATGTTTTGGCCAAAAGAAGTAAAACTCCTTGCAGTATTTATCAGAAGAAAAAGTCGACTTCTTGCCACCCCATTAATCTTCTCACGATTCCTCAAATTTATCTTGTGAGAAGGTGCAACCCTCAGGACGGGAAGCTCTGGACTCAGCTGCCAAAAGTATATAAAGCTATAACAAAACCTTGAACCAGCTACAACAATAAAATGCTGTTTATGAGTCTGTTACATGGGACAAAGTGCTTTTTGGTGATAATACTTTTTTATTTTTACTCATGTAGGATTTTGACTGCAGGACTTCTTGTTAATGGAATATTTTTACATTGTTATATCAGTACTTTAAAGGATCTGAGTACATTTTCTAACACTGTCCATTTAAAAGTTCTCATAAGAAATGATGAAGCTACAGATGAAGCTGTAATTGAAGTGACAGTCTTTAGGATAATTATGATGCACTTGAGCTTTAAATAGAAATTTTTTGCTTTAAATGTCTTGTCTTCAGCTCATAGGTCTACATAAACGATCTAACTGTCGTCCACAGCTGACCAGGAACGGCACGGTGGAGTGCGCCCAGGCAGACCTGCTGACTCTGGAGGATGTATCAGACGAGGACCTGGACGTGGACGGGGTGGAGGTGGACGACTGTTTCTTCCTCCAGCCGCTGCCCACAAAGCGCCGCCGAGCCCTCCTGCGAGCCTCTGGCATCGCCCGCATAGATGCGAGGGAGAAAGCTGAGCTCAGAACCATCCGCCTCTCCCGGGAGGAGTGCGGCTGCGACTGTCGCTTGTACTGCGACCCTCGCCACTGCGGCTGCAGCCAGGCTGGTATTAAGTGCCAGGTAAGGGTTGTTGGCATGAAGGGTTGTGTGCATAAAGAATAGAGCCACTGTGCAGATTGCTGAGACTGAATGAGTCATTTACTGCTCAATAAAATGTGTGTCCCGTTTAGCATACACAGAATCATTTTTAATTTGAGTCATATGTGCAAATTATTTTCACTTTTTTTCAGGGAAGCTCCTTTGAAACATCGCAGTAGAAAAGCCAGAGCTATAAACAGTAAAATGTACCTTAGGGTCCTTGTGTTGTTGTGCATCCTGACTCACTGTTTCTCTCCCATGACTCACTGGGACACTTGAACACAACAGAGACGGTGTTACTGTTAATAATAACACCTCTGCTTTTCTACAATAAGTCACACACTGTCTGTTGTGATCTAAACCAGAGCTGTGTATCCATGAAATAAACATGTTCAGTCAGTCCTGTGAGATATAGTTTGAAAATATGAAAACGTATAACTCTGTTACCATAGAAAATGATTGCACAGATACATTATGTTCCTGCAGCACCTCTGCTGTTTGACTCTGCGTGCTGAGACATGAAAATGGCCGCTCTCTCTGTTGGTCTTCCATTTCTATAAAATCCAGTTTCTGTTTTTATATATTTTCTGCATTTTCCAGTATGAGCACCAACTTTTGGATGTGTGCAGCAGCTATAACAGATTTTCCTGTTTCAATCTGTTGAAATAAATCAGTAATCATTAGTTCGTATTCTTGACAGGAATTGTGAATATCATAATCAAAGCATTTCAATACGATATAGGGATTGAAAAGCAATTAACCTTTGATTGACGGAGGTACTGAAATCTGCAGAATTTAGAAATCAGAGCATCAGTGCAGCCAATCACTCATTACACCATCATCTCATTTCTCTTCTTTCAGTTTACTAAAATTTAAGATGAGAAACAAAATTGTCAAAACATATTGATACATTCACTTCAATTCAGTTTTATTTATAAAGCCCAATATCACAAATCACAATTTGCCTCACAGGGCTTTACAGCATACGACATCCCTCTGTCCTTATGACCCTCGCAGCGGATAAGGAAAAACTCCCCAGAAAAACCCCTTTAACATTCTGAATATTAAGACGCTTTTACCATATGTTTATGTGCATGACTGTGTGTTGTCAGTCAGTCGGTGGCCCATTTGACTTTATGCCCATTTCTCTGACATCTTGTTATCCCAAAAACAAACACCCATTGCTCTGAAGTCCCTGCAGTTAGTTTTAGTTTCCCAGCCCCTTTTGAGCTGCTGAAGCTGGGTGTTTTAACATGATCTTTTCCCAACCTTAACCAAGTGGTTTCTGTGCCCACACCAAACCACACATTCACCACAGTGTTGCTGCGAAATGTAAAGTTTCAATGAATTAGCTACAAAATAATGTGTAAAATGTAACAATCCTTGATTTACAGAGTTACAGTGTGAACATTTTTTCTTGTGATTGGATTGTCTAACTACAGGGAGTGTGGAATTTCTGAGAAATGGGACTTGGGAGTAGGGTTGCAACAATATACCAAAACTGTCTCAGGAAATATTGTGGTTTCACAGTATCCTGGTGTTACATTATTATCAGTCAGAATGACCCTTAAAGGAGTGAAAATGGAAGGGTTATTTTTCGTTGAGCACTCATTTTATTTCTATATTTGATAATAGAAACCATTTTTATTAGAAGTTTGTGTAAAAAGTCTCCCTTTTAAAAATAAGTAACATGAAGGAAAGATTCTCCAGTGGATTCCAACCTGGGGCTATTTCCTGCATGTTGTCCTCTCTTTCTCCCCCCCGTTCTACCACTCTTTACTCAAAAAAAAAGGCCAAAAAAATCTTTAAAAAAATCAAATCAAATGTTATTATAAACAAAGAATTAACATGTATATTTAATGTTTATTTTAAAAATAAGCATATAACATTAAGGCTGTAGGCTGTATCTCTCTGTGCATGTATCGTTTAGAGCTTCAATGATTAATGCTTTGGTTTCAACAGAAAATAAATTGGCAGCTGTATTGATAACGGATTAATAGTTCATGTTATTTTTAAGCAGAAATGCAAAACATCTCACGGTAAAAATGTTCCAGCTTCTCAGAAATGTGATAATTTGCTGCTGTTACTTGCCTTAAAAAATGTATGTTTGGGGTTTTGAACAAGATGTGATGATGTCAGTGTCTGGGAAATTGTGATGGACATTACATTTTTACTATCTTCTGATGTTTTATAGACCCAGACTATTTGATAATTGATAAATAATAATAAAATAATCAGAAGATAAATCAATAATGAAAATAACCATTAGTTGCAGCCCTAGTATTATTGATGTTGTTTACAGTCGCCCATCTCGTTGAAAAATCAAGTTCTTTTATGGGTAGAAATTGGGTTTTCTAACTTTATGAATGATTTTTCCCTTTTCTGGTTTATATTTGGTATCGTGAAGAGAAAGTACAACTCCATTTTGACCTGATTTATTACACAGTAGAGCTGCGATGATTAGTCAGTTGATAAGTCAATCAAAAGAAAATCATTTACCAACTATTTTGACAATCAATTTCAGTCATTTTCCAAGCAAAAGAGTCAAACATTTGCTGGATTCCAGGTTTTTAAATGTGAGAATTTGCTTTTCTTTGTCATTTATGCCAATAAATGATTAAAGATGAAGTAAATTTATGAGTCTTTGGGTTTGGAACTGTTAGTTGGACAAAATAATTAATTGGAAACACTGAAAAAACATTGAAAATTCTAATTAGCATGTCTCACAATTTCTTAGCATTTTATAGACTAAATGGTGAATTGATTAATCTTGAAAATAATCAGAAGATTCATTGATAATGTTGTAGCCCAATAACACAGTAAGCAGATGTTCTTTTTCTCGTATCTCGACATGTACTGTGTCGTCTCTCTTTGTCCTTTGCACAACAGTAAACCCTTGTATAACTTACATAACGATCATCTAAATGACTCAGTCAGTTCCAAGTGTTTACCTTCTACTGTTGACATAAAATGAAACTGGAGTTTAAATATCCTTTGCTTTCATTACCAGGTGGATCGTATGTCGTTTCCATGTGGCTGCTCCAGGGACGGCTGTGGCAACGTAGCGGGCCGCATCGAGTTCAACCCTCTACGCGTCAGAACTCACTACCTGCACACCATCATGAAGCTGGACATAGAGAAGAGGAGGATGCTGATACAAGGGACCGGGGACCAGTATGCTGAATCCGACCAGATGTCCTCCCCCTCCTCCACTTGCCCCACCTCCCCGGACCTATCCTCAGTCGCCGGCCTGGACTCTGAGCTGGAGGAGAGCGAGGTGCAGACAGTGGTCGAGGTTCAGGATCTCCTGGCAGAGCAGGACATCCTGGAGCGCGAGAACGAGACGGCGGTGTTGCACCTGCAGAGCGCGGAGGAGCAGGAGAGGAGGGAGAGGGAAGAGGCAGAGGGGGAGGCAGTGCAGCAGGAGCTGGGGGCAGGAGGTCTCACAGAGCAGCCTCTCTGTCTCCTCCCCGCTGCTTTGGGAGGGGATCTGCCTGAGCAGGCAGAGGTGCCAGGTGTGGAGCAGGTCCTCCTGCAGGGGCCGTTCCCCACGGGGGCCACGGTGCTCTGCATCACTGACAACCAGGAGGAGAGCCCCTCCGACCTCCTCAAAGACTCCACCTCTCTGCTCTACTATCAGCTCAGTCCCATAGAGCCGGGAGCCTTTGAGACCCTGCCCAGAGCCGAGGAGGCTGAACAAGAGGTGCGGGAACAAGATTCGGGAGGAGATGACAGGAAACAAGACAGAGGAGAAGAGTCGAAGGATGGTACGCCTGAAGAGATCACCTGCAGGCAGAGTTTGGGCAAGTCTTTGACCAATGTGATTCTGTGCTCAGAGGAATGCGTGGCAGTGGTGGAGGAGAGGCCCTCGAGTCCCCAGCAGAGCCTTCCTGAGGTGCAGTGCCAACGGGAGTCGTGCCTGGAGGGAGAAATAGATCCACCGCCTCCTGAAGTTTAGTTCTAGCTTCTCTGCAGATATTTTGCACAATAGCTTCATCTAAGATGAAAAAAAATTACACATTTATTACTGCTATCATCAAGAATAATTACAGGTTGCAATCCTTTGTAGTGACTGTCATTGAATTATGTGAGCGTGAGTATTACAATACATGAGGGAGGAGGGATGCTGAAAGCACATACAGATCACTCCCTGGAAGTTATATGGATGCAGTTACAAGGAAACATTGTATGTAATTCTGTTGGGGGTGATGAATGCGGCCTTAATGGAAAAACATAAAAACACTTGTGTGTAGGAGTCATTCGTCGATGAGAAAGTACAGCAAGTAGTGCTTTGTTAATTTCCAACGTAGCGAACAGAAATCACAGCGTGTGAATGCTGACATAAGCCTTTAGTTTGGTGATGTATAAAGCTATCAACACTAAACACAAATTGTTTTTCAGTGCACAAGAAGCTGGTGACTTAAGAGACTCGCCGGCTCACGTTCCATTACGGCAGACCAGTGCTGTAGTCAAGCCAAATGAAGGCGTCTGATAGTACCCTCCGCTGAAAATAGACCTAATAATCCTGGAAATACTTGTTTTTGTGTACTGTATATGCATTTGCAATGTGCAAGACAGCGCCGAGGTTGCTGCTTTTGTTTTTTTTTTAACGCACATTGTGAACCGAGGGCAGCGGGTGTTGTGGCTCTGCTGTAATGAAGGTAAAGCAACAGAGAGCAGCAGACTGACACTGGCCTTAGCTGTTGCTCTCGCTCACCTCGGGCTGCTCGTGCAAATGCAGTCGATTTGTCAACAGAAACCTAGTTTACCTGTAGTTACAATGCCTATGATATAATTTCTTTGAGTAACGTGTCTTTTGTGGATTAGATACTGTTGGTTTGAGGTCCTCGCAGTCTTGTTTTTTGAGTGAAAGGAAATGTTTCTTTCATACTGCTACACTGTAATGCCATGTAGTCAGTCACGTCAAGTTACGATGAAATGCCAGGATAGATCTTCCCAGTCGTCTCCTCGTTTAAAGGGATGGTTTGGATATTTTGAAGTGGGGTCATATGGGGTTCTTATCCACAGTCAGTGTGTTACATGCAGTAGATGTTTGTCTGCACGCCCCCAGTTTGGAGAAGCAACATGAGTGCCAACAAAAAAAGCTAAGCAGTGTACTGCTGTGGATGGGAGGCAGCAGCAAAGGGTATTTTAGCCACCTAAATTGTATGCAATATTGACACTGTTTTCACCAGGGTTGAGCGGCATACTTGGTGCAGATAACGTACTTACACGAGTATAAGTATCATCCGAGTAAAATGTTCTGAGATTGTATTAATAGTTCTCTAATAATAACACAAAAAAACTCATTAATCCAAAAGATTTTTAAACATAAAATATCTCTTAAACACTCCATAAGTTCCTTGAACTATGTACGTTATTAAGGTTTTGACATATGCTCAATGTTATGAGCAGGCATTGTGATAAATCCATCAGTCAGTCCTCTGGCGTTGCACCACGCGTAACGTAGCGCAATGATGTCATTACAAGCTTACAACATGATGACATGGTAGACAGAAGCATTCGCTGTCTGCTGCAACAAGAATGAATAGTGTTTCTAATCTTAGATCTGTTTCAGTAGGATCGTACAAACAACAATCTTGATGTCCGTGTTCATTTTTAAAGGGTTAAAATACTGTAATATACTACAGTAAATGCTATACTATACTATATAACAACTTCTTGTTCATTTCAACTTTAAGTCCCACCCCTGTCCAGTTCAAACCCCATCCATTCCGAGAATTTAGTTGGTTGATCAGATATAGATGCAGATACAGATAATAGTAAACTCACTCGACCCTAATTTTCACTACTTCACCTTTCCATCAGACAGCCTGTTCTGACGTAGAAGCTGGCTTCAGTTCCCTGGTTTCAGCTGGGCGGCTGTGGCTCAGAGGTAGAGTGGGTCGTCCACCAATTGGGAGATCCGTGGCTCGATCCCTGGCTCCTCCAGTCCACATGCCGAAACACCCTTTGGCACAATACTGAACCCCAAATTGCTGCTGATGACTATTCCATTGGTGTGTGAGAGTGTGTGAATGGTTACCGAGTAGGAGGTGGTACGATGTATGGTAGCCTCGACCAAAAGTGTGTGAATGGGTGTGAATGGGTGAATGTGACATGTAGTGTAAAAGCACCTTGAGTGGTCGGAAGACTAGAAAGGCGCCATACAAGTGCAGTCCATTTACCAGTCACCAGACTCCATTGAGAAAAACAGCAATTTTAGCTTGCTGAACACAGGAGCTGCTGGTCTACCGCTGCCATGATCTGTTGGTTAATTTGCATTATTGTGTGACTTTGGTGAATCTGAACTAACCCTTTTAAACACCAAAGTCACACTGTAACACAAACAGAATAACTGATCGAGGCAGCGGTTGACCAGCAGCTCCTGTGTTCAGCCAGCTAAAATCACTGTTTTTCTCAATGGAGTCTGGCTTTGAAGAGAGCGATGTAACACCTTCAGTTTCACATCAGAAATCAGTCAGACATTAAGATAAAGCAGTGAAAATATTCTAAATATAGCATATACACAAAGTGATTATGATTTTTTTGGTGGCTAAAATACGTTTTGTTGCCTACCCCTCCACAGCAGTACTTTGTTAGCTCCTGTGTCCGACTCCAACCTGCTTCTCCAAGCTTTGGGCGTGCCGACAAACATCTACTGCATATAATACACTGAGTGACTATGGAGAAGTACCTCATACAACCCCACTTAAAAAGATCTGAACTGTCCCTTTAATGAGTCATACTGTAAGGAAGAGATGAATCAAGTCCAATGTCATATGAAGAAAATAGCATTTAAAGAGTCAAAGAAAGTAGTTATACAAAATGATGTGATGTTACTAATTTATGAAACAGATTGACCTGAATTTGTATATTTTATGTTCAATCTGTACAGTGTGTGTGTGTGTGTGTGTGTGTGTGTGTGTGTGTGTATGTGCCTACTTTACATTAGTGCGTCTACGTGGGAGAGGAAGTTGTGTATGCGTCTGTGTGTGCATGTACACGTGTATGTACTGTATTATGAAAAGGGGAGGGGGGGAGTATATTAGTGAGGATACATATTTTATTCCTGAGAAAGGTGCTGATGTTACAGATTTACAATTCACTGATTTTTCTCCCCACCATCATGAGAAATATGATTTCACGGAGATGTTTCTCGATGACTGACGTTACGAAGTGTCGGAGAGACTCTTTTAGGAAACGCAATAGCTACTGCACTGCAAATCATTAATGTGGCGGTTCTGGATTGAGGAGTTTTATCATGTAAATGCAATCGTATAACATTTTCCTGTCTTTAAATGTCTTTTTTAAGCTGTGTCTGATTAATACTGATCTGCGTAAGTGTGCCGACTCTCCTTACACAAAACCAGTCCTTTGTTTTGTTGCCTAAAATTACAGCTGTTGCTTTCAGTTACAGCTCGCCAAACACAGGACGTGCTGCCGTGTATGAGACGTCTGATGTATTTCTTTGCCTTTTTTTTATTTTTAACTGTCTTAATATAAATCTGCTTAAGAGTTGCACCAAAGCAGTGGTTTCAAACCTAATTAGATGATGCTTTCAACCATCATATTTTAACAAAGCGGTCTCCTGTACTTATTGTGAGGCTTTTAGATTTATTGTGGCCCTTTGTGTTTGCGTGACTCGCCTTGACATCTTCAAAGTGACGATGATTAAAAGCTGCCTATTGTTGAGCTTTCTGTCCTTGGCTTTCTACTAATAGACTTTAGGTTTGGGACCACTGCATCAAATTAACTCCAGTACACTATGTGATTGTGTGTGTCTCTGTATGAACGGGGCGTGTGACTGTGGAAAAGACTGATACGTTTAGACTTCATCTAAAAGCTGTGAGAACTACTCTCATGCTAACTGTTGCCTAAAGTGGACAAAAAGGTTTTTTATACAAAAATAAAAACAATAAAACACTCATTTTAAAAAGGATGAACGTTTGATGTGTTGTGTTGATTTCATATTAAAAATCATTTATTTCACAGGATTTAAACATCACAGGTTATGATTCCATTGATGAACTTGGGTCGTGACTTTGATTTGGTTAGATCTGGATATCATATTTACCATTTATTCATAAAAATGTGACTCCTTCAATGATGATGATCCTTTTTTGTGATTTTACACTCTTACTAAATTAATAATAAGGGAAGCTTTGGGTCTAATGTATTTTTCCTGATAACAGTTTAAAGAGAATTAGCTCCTATTGCAATTATGTTTCAATTTGTATCCCTTCGCGTCAGCAACAGCCGTGGTCAAAGGAATTATGCTTTCGGGTTGTCTGTCTGTCCCTCCCATTCTCATGAACACGATATCTCAGGGAAGTTCCTCAAATTTGGCATAAATGTCTGCTTGGACTCTGTAATGAAGTGATTAGGTTTTGATGGTCAAATGTCAAGGTCACTGTGACCTTGCTTTTGTCCCATTCTAATCAATGTGATATCTCTAGAAGGCCGTGAGGAAATTTCTTGAAATATGGCACAAACATCTGCTTCGACTCACCAGTGACCTCGTAAGTGTCAAAGGACGAGGTCAGTTTGACCTTTGTCTGTCTCCTTCACGTGGACGCAATATTTCAAGTAGGCCTTGAAGCAATTTCTTCAAATTTGGCACAAATGTCCACTTGGACTTGACAATGAACTGAGTAGGTTTTTGTGGTCAAAGGTCAAGGTCACTATGACCTTGTGTGTCTCATTCTTGTATTTATATCTCAAGAGAGCTTTGAGGGAATTTATTTAAATATGGCACAAACATCCGCTTTGACTCGCCAATGAACTCATAAGATTTTGAAGGTCAAAGGACAAGGTCACTGTGACCTTGCTTTTGTCCCATTCTTGTAAATGTGATATCTCTAGAAGGCCATGAGGAAATTTCTTTAAATATGGCACATACATCTGCTTCGACTCACCAATGACCTCATAAGATTTTAAGTGTCAAAGGACAAGGTCAGTTTGACCTTTGTCTGTCTCATTCACATGGACGCAATATTTCAAGTAGGCTTTGAGGCAATTTCTTCAGATTTGGCACAAATGTCCACTTAGACTCAAGCTGGGTAGGTTTTTGTGGTCAAAGGTCAAGGTCACTGTGCTTACAAAACAGTGAAGAAATCATATGTTAAGTCTGACAAAATTTTACAGAAATATCTAATAGGATACAATAATGAAGTGAACACATTCTATATCCAAAAAGTCAAAGGTCAGCATACTGTGACATCATAATGTTCTGCAAAAACACTTTCCTGGCCATTGTTCAAAGCCATATCTCAAGAACAGAAGGGGAAATGTTTGACCGCCTTGAAACCGTGGTCACTATATAGATCTTCTACGCTGTCGAAGATGTGTGTGAAGCGTCCATGTCTTAGAATCTGTAGCATCTTTGGAGCAACATCTGTATTTGAAGCATTGTCTACTATCAAGGCTACATATGAGTCTGGGCAGACATAAATGTAAAGTGTAACTGCAACTTACCTGGTTCACAGAGGCATACAACCTCAAGGTGGTGATTCCAGATTATTTCTATTTTAAAAAAAAGTAATGATTCAATAATTGTTTTCCTTAGTGTTTAGTGTCTGTTTTGTCATTACAATCACTCACTGCAAACTTATGTCATTGACCTGTGTGAAATCTGTAGATAACGTGTTGTTGCTCTGAAGGGAAAAAACAGAAAGGAGAAAAAAAAGTGAAGTCTTTGTCCTCAGTCAGACACTGGAGGTCATTACAGTGACTATCAGCTGGGCGCAGTATACTTGCTGACCACTAGATGGTAGCATAAATTCATTCCCCTGAAACTCAGCCTGCTCTCTACATGCAGATATGTGTGTCTCAGACAGGGTTCATTCACTACAGCTGTTACTCTAAAACATGGGGCTCTATCTTGTATCAGTGCCACAGAGTTAAAGCAGCATCGGAGATAGTAACACAGCCAATTAAATCTCATCTTTAGAGTGGCTTCTCTTAAACTGAACAAAAACTTAAATGCAACAGTTTTGCCTTTGTTCCCATTTTTTCACAGGTTTAAGTTAAAGATTTATGACCTTTTTAATGCACACAAAAGACTCAAAGTTTGGTTGCAAATGCACTGTTTTATG